CATAAGGGAGGATGGGGCGCGGGGAGCTGGGGCCAGGGTGGGGCAGGGCCCATGGGTGGTTCAGGGCGACCGTCCAACTAGTATTTCAGGAAGCTGGCAGGGCCGGAGGTGGTGTGCCATTGTTCCTCCGCTCATCCGAGGCACTGCTCTCGGTTCCAGCCCCTCTTCCTACCTTGGTGCCAACACCCCCTAACCCCCTCATCTCACAGTACAGACAAGAAGTTAGACCCAAGCCTCGGGCCCCAGTGCCCTCCTGACTTCCACGTCATCTGCTTGGTTCCCAAACAAAAGTCCTCTGCCTTTTTGGCCCACTGAAGAGCAGAGCTAGGGACAGGCCTTGTTCACAGTCTTCTAGCCTGACTCAGGTGTGGTTTAAGGAACCGCAGCACGTGTCCTCAACCCTAACTCCCTCCTCCACCAGTCTGTCCCATCCAGAGGGTGCAAAGGCAAAGCTTGAACTCTCCTCCCACTCTCTTTCTAACCCCCACCCCCCGACACAGGAGGATTTCAGTGGTGGCAGTTTCAGATGAGAGCCTGGGGACGAAAGAATCAACAGAAAGAGACTCCAGAGTGCAGCGATGGGGGGAGGGTCACGCAACTTCCTGGCATCCTACCGTGAGGCACAGAGGTGGCATTTGGGCTGTGCTCACAAACTCCCTCCCACGCAGCGTTCCCAGGATGGGAGCTGCGCTGCCGGCATTGCCCCTGCTGACTGGCACGGTGGTAGCCGTGAAGGCCCGGCCGAGTTGGTTTAGGGAAGCACTGGGGCCTGGGAGGCGCGCGGGGTTCAGAGGTACAGGTGCAAGCCAAGTGTGTAGGGATAAGGCCTGCGGAACCCCGGGAGCCGGGCCCCAGCAATCCCAGGCTGCTGGAGGATGATGGGCCGGGGCGGGGGTAGGGGCTCAAGAATCTTGCCCGCCCAAGACCCGAGAGGGTAATTTTAGCCGATCTCCCATTGTCCATACGTAAAGATTTCAATCGGCAGGCGCTCAAAAAGCCCAGAGCCACCGCACCACGTCCGTTACAAATAGGTAGTTTTGTTTCTCTTGTTGTCGCTACACGGAGTCAAACAAAGCCCCGTCTAAGTTTCCTTCCACTCTTGTTGGAACCTTTGTGGCTAAAATGCACTTGGGTACAAAAGGGGGGAGAGACGGAAAAAAAAAGTCCTGATGCCATTTTTTTTTTCTTTTTAAATAAAGAGCTTAAACCATCAGGGTTACTTTTTTTTTTTTTTTAACTGCAATTCTCTCAGCCCCTCCTCCCCTCAACCATCCCAACTGGGCCTAAAGAAAGCCTTCAGAAGGGTATCTGCCGGCCACGCTCCGCACATTGTCCTTACAAACTGCCCTGTTTATTCTTCACTCTTCCCACCACGGCTCTCCCCCACCCCCACGTCTCCAATTTCCATCCTCCCAGACTTGGCGGTTATTGTCACCCTCGAGCTAAATATGCTCACTTTACACCCAGAAAAGTTGTGGCAAAGAATTTTTGCAAACTTGAAATAATTTCTTCTTCACTCCACTCTCTGCCTGTCCTAGGTGCTCCTTAAATTTTGGCTGCTTTGGGTCTTGGGAACCCGGAAAGGACTTATAGAAACGCGTAAATATTTGGGTCTCTTCAAATTAAAGCATTGTTTTCAGCTTAATCGGGGTGTACTATTATGCTCAACACGAATCTCAGGAGACTACAGAAAAGGTTGTTGAGCTGGGGAAGGCAGCCACCGACTTTTCAGCACGCCTAGTTTCTGGGATGTGGCTGCTGCGCCCCCTGCTGGTGCATTTGCTTTTCCAAGACTGCTTTTACCTTTAAAAAGAAGGTGTGTAGAAATAATTAAAGTAAAAAAAAAAAAAAAACTGAGGAGGACGGAAGATCAAACTAATTACACATAATCTAAACAAAAGAAAAGTTAACATATCATATAAGCCGTGAGACCAAATCATAAGAATCAAATTTAATTTGCTTAACTTAGAAATGTACATAGAACCGCCAGATGAAGTGGAAGGTTAAACCAGGGGAAAATAGGTATAAATTATGAGATTCAACATATGAATGAATTATGATTGTCCGCGCGCCACTAAGGGCAGGCGGAGCACGCACTTTGTGATTGTGTGTGTATCGGTAGGCGCTTAATAGCGTTATTCTGAAAACTTAAAAAAGCTTATGGATAATTAAGTTTGAAGAAAGAAAAACAACGAATTGATGTAGACAACGGTGGTGTATATTTATTAAGATAAATATTAATAATGGGTGATGATAAAGGAACATCTTTTTAAAATCTTGATCGTTTTCTTTCAAGGGTAGTAGTAAGAAGCCTGTCCACCCCCGCGGCCCCCCCCACCCAGCATCGGCATGGTGTGTAACTCGCAGAGACATGTGTTTGCACCTGAACTCTATAATAATGTACTTAAAGAGGGTAAGGGTTCTGGCTAGGTCTTTTGTTAATTGCTTTATCATATGAATAAACTATGGGAGTACATTACAATCGTGTTATCATTTGTAGTTTTTATTTACAGCTTTATTTTAATTAAGCTTGCTGTACTTAGACTTATCAAGGCAATAAACTGACTGTAACTGGTGTTTATGCATAATAATGTGCAATGAAAATAAGATTAAAGAAGATGGTGATAGCAAAAACCAGTTACAGTTTATGTTTTTAGAACATATGCATTGAAAAAAAATTAGATCACCGGCTGCCTGAATTCAATCCAGCACCATCATAGCCCCCTAAGTATAATAACTATAACAGCCCCAGCCCATGACAGAGCAAGTCTCTTTTGGGGTTATAATAGCTGACTACAGTACCAGCAACAATACACTATTGACTAGCAGACAATCAGAAAAAGACTTGTAACAGGGTGCTTCATCCTCCGAGAATTTAAAATGTTGCCACTGGCATAGTTTATGAAAATTGGAAGTGCTTCATCTAAAGAGAATGTAACACTTTCCTTCCATGGGCAGCAAAAAGCTATACACTTTTAGACCAGCATTAGTGATTAGCATATGCCTGAAATAATCAGATTTTATTTTGCTCTGCTATTGGCCCTAGCCAGAAGCCTTAACTGCTAAGTATATCCCAATTTTATTTACAAATCTTTTACATCAGTTTTTCTCTCCTAAGCGCTCACTATCCTTCCTCAAGTATTATATCTGAAGCCAACTGACAATTTTGTGGAGGTGCGGACTGTAGACTTATTTTTTTCTTCTTAGTGGCAAATAGAGGTTTAAGTTGCAGTAATTAGTGAGAACTAGCCAAGCATCTTACTATTATGATGCTTGTTAAAAACGCTTCGCTCCTGCATCTGCATTTGAGTGGGTTCCCTCCTCTCCTAATCTCCTTATGGAAATGAAGGCGAACGGCAGGGGACCTGCAGCGTCTGGGAGAATGCCCTTGTTAACTGGAATTTCTCAGCATTGCTAATTAGCAGAGTTTGACGACCACCAGTATTGGGGGAAAGCTCTGTTTAACCACTCGCCAACCATTCCGAGGAAGAGCAGACTAATTTTATTTTGTAATTAAAATCTGAAAAGGGCCCTATTTGACAGTTAGGGCTATGAGAGTTTTATCTCCCCGAGAAATAATTACTGCCTTGATAACTCAATTTTCTGAAAAATGTCAACTGTGGGCTCCAAAAGTTTTAATTTCATTACATAAGGAAAAGAAGCAAGAAAAATAGGAGAAAATGTACAGAAAGGCTTTCTAATTCTGGAACTGGTTAAATATATTAGGAGCCAGCTTTACCGAAACGAAGTGCTCCCCTCCACTTTTTGCTATGCTCCTCGTCCCTCTAAATGCTAACCTTCTAACCACCTCTCGTGGACATGGCCATAGCAGGGATCCTTCTGCAGTGAGGGAAATGACGTCGGAGCCTGGTACTCAAGAGGCAAATGAAGCTAAAAAGTGAAGTACAGAAACTGTAAGAAAGTTTGTGATTTTAAAAGACAAAGATATAGAGAATGTTGTACCCAAGACTTAGGGAAAGGCTGGAAGAATCTGACGAGGTGAGATTCTATTATCTATCCCCAAATACTACAGGAAACAGAAAGTTATGTAGTAAGGACCCTGGCATATACTACTTTATAAAATGTTTTCTTCTGCTCTCTAAGTCACAAAAGTGCCCAGTCACTCCACTTGGCAGGTGGGGTACCTACCACTCTGCTTCCAGAAGGACCAGAGCTTTAAGATTTAAGAAACACAGATGAATGAAGATAAAGGAATGCATTTAGAAGGGTTATTTTCCAAATAAATAAATAAATAAGAATATAAAATCACATACTTTCTAAAAATAATTAACCAGAAATATGCTAGAAAAGTTAGGGTACAGAAAGCTGGGGTAAGAACTAGAAAATAAGTTGCATCGCCGTGAAGCTTTCTTTCCTCTACTAAGAAGCTTCCCTCACTCAACACCCATAGGGATACCTTAATTTTTACAGCATGACTTTGAGAATAATGGATGCTCTTTCATTTGTACCTTACCCATCCCATCTTCCTATGTTAAATTTGTTAGATTTCGGAAGTGTGAAAGATTATTGACAGGGACCATCATCCACTTTTCAAGATGTCATGAAGAACAACCACAAACTTTTACCCCTTTCTATTGACCATATGGATACAAGGTAGACTGGCAACTTAAATTTGCTTAGTCATATTTTTTCTTCTTGTGTGTGCCTTTAATTTTCAGAAGTGGTATTATACACAACAAATGGACAAGGGGCTGTCGGAGCCCAGATCCAATTTTACCAAATAATTTCACTCAAGAGTTGCAAGGACCCTTGAAAGCTAAGGAATGCAGGACGGCCTGTATGCTGCCCATTGTACTCATTCCTTTCCATGTAATCTCACCGATGAAGTAAATACATTTTAAAAAAGAGTTTGGCAATTAGAAACTTAATATATTTTCTTCTTGCTTTGAACCTAATCATTCCCCATCACTTTTTTTTTTTTTAAGTCTTCTGGGCTGTATGTAAAACAATATGATTTACAGGGTTTCATGTATTTTTACATCTTTTAGATATTCCAGATCAATTATTTTCTAGATAAAGTATTCACACTTCACGATTTTCATTTCCATTTTTTGAATTATCAGTCAGGAGATTCTCTTCCCACAACTGCTGTTGCTGTCTAGGGGAAAATGTAGTTTGCCCATGAAATGATCTAATTGCTTTAAAACAGAAATTCCCCTGTTAAAGACAAGCTGAGAACAGGATGAGCAGCCACTGTTGGTTTTCAATTGCACTTCTGATTGTAAAAATCAGGAGAGAGAGAGAGAGAGAGAGAGAGAGAGAGAGAGAGAGAGAGAGAGAGAGAGAGATATTACCAGATACTTTAGAGAGTCCTTAGTCCCTTTGTAACCCCAAATCAATGCCTGGAAGTGTATCACACACCTGTTTGACTGACAAACTATTTTGGGCAAATCATCCTGCCAAAAGCATATGGCCTCCTTTGTCCAGTGGCCATGGTTGTTTCCCCAATTTAAAGAAACAGATGTTCATTTAAGATGTTCTAGCTGTAATTATTTTATTTAGTTGTGACATCTATCAGAATAAAACAAACCCAAGCCTTCCTTGAGGCTTTTCTGACCTATATTCAGTGACAGCAGTGCAGGCCAGTGACATGTGACTGCTGCAGCCTAGTCCAAGTGGCTGGAACTCTGTGCCTGGGTCTCGATCTTCTTCGTGGGGTGACCTCATATAACTTTCCGC